AATGTGCAATCTGTAAAACAAAAACCTCAAAGTTATAGTTGAAATGGTATACTGCTGGAATTTTTTTGACCTTGAGAAAAAGCTTAAAGTATAGACCAACAAATTTTAATGCTTATTAATTTATTTCATGTTGGTACATTTTTGGGAAGTACACCTGTTTTGACCTGATGTCTATTGGAATTGACAAAAAAGTCACAATGAAAGCAATTATATAAAAAAAAATCATTTGTTTTCATTATTAGAAACCTCATGAGCTGGGAAAATGTACTTTTACATTTTTCAGAAACTTGAAACATAATTCAGGTCTGAGGGGGTTAAGTAGTAATATCACATTGTATTTTTTCTTTGCCGAAGCTGTTTTTTTCTTTCTTTTCTCTGTCCATACTCTTTTAGCTCATTAGCACAACCAAGACTTGCAAAAAAAAAGCGCTGAGGATGTTTCCCTGCACGTGTGTAACTGCATTGTGCTTGTTTGAGTCAGGATATCCTCAATAGTAGTCTTCCTGTGCTTACTGGGAGAAAATGCAGGTCACCACTGGAGACAGGCAAAAGTTCAAGGAGGAAATTGAAGTGTTTGACCAGGTGTGGTGCAAAAGACTCGCAAATCACTTTGGGTTACCAGAGGCAAATTTGGCATTTTTAATGCACAGTACAGATTATTCTAGCTCGAGCATATCAAAGAAAAAAAAAGAAAAAGCAACTTTTTTTATAGATATATATGCACACAAACAGATCTGACACACAAACAGGCAAATGCACACAAACAGATCTGACAACTCTGACATTTTAATGGACATTTTTGGAATAATTATTAAATTATCCTCCCACAGTTGAATAGAAGCGAAAACATTATACAGTGTTTTTCACAATATTTCACAGTATTTACAATCTCCTTATCAGTGCCGAAAGCATCGCCACACTACAGTAGCGCCCCCTGCTGGTCTCCAGCAAACACATACTTGGGTCCATGCCAACCTAATAACCCAATACACACTCCCAGTTCAGTTAAATATACAAAACAAGTAGAAATATTAAAGATATAAGGATAAATGAAACATTATCTGTACATTGGTTTCAGTACATTCACAAAAGAACTGATCTCAAATAAAGCGCAAGCTGTGAAACCGATTTGTTTGGTATCATAATAAAAATCCCGACAGATGCTTCCTGTAAACATCCCTTTTAAGAGCAGAGGTTTAAAAAGGGACATTCACAAGGTCGTTTCAAATCATAGAGAAAATGTATGTGGTGCTATGAAATATCTAGGATGTTCAAATTTACTTTGTTGCACCATAAGTCTTAATTCCAAAGGGAATAAACAGTTGTGGCTACATTGAAATTTTTATACTGAAGTGGAAAAATATAATCTCGCTTCAACAAAATTAAACTTTCCAAAAAAACATAAATGGTGCTTGTAAACATTTCCCCCTTCACATTAGAAATGTCCTTCACATCAAAAAATAAAACTGAAGAGAAGTGGTTTTCTTGGTGGACACATTCACATATGTACAGATACCTAGCCATTGCACTCCTGTTATTCAAATTCACAACATTTTTAATGCATGTATGGAATATGCAGCTTATATAAATATGTTTCACTTTTTTCAGTCATCAGACATCATGGACCACAAAGTGACCGATCTAAAAATCCATTAACTGATCTTAAATATTGAATCTTATGGAAACTGTCAAGAGCATGTCCAGGTCATATCTCACCACAAAATCAAGAAATATGACATTATCGATAAAGTATATGAAGCATATTTTATTCATTATGACAATTTATCCCAGTAGCTTAATATAATGAGAAACAAAATGCACTCATTATTAGTGTAATGTACATATGATTATTTACATTGAATAGTACATTTGTATTTTTAATGAATTTATTTATGTTTAATTTATGAACATTTTATTTATTTTTTTTAATTAAATTAAATTTTAGGAGAATCTTTTTTATACACAATTTTGTGGTGAAATATGCCCTGGAAATGTTTTCATTAGATTCACCTTAAAATCACAAATCGAGTTTTAGATCGAAGCAGTGAACAGAACCAAAACAAAGTATATTAGCACAGAGCTATCATGCGGTTCCAAGTCATTAGAGAAACACTGGCTACAAAATTATTCATGGTTTTGTTGAAGGGCCTCTTGCTTTCAGTCGTCGCCGTCGGCTCAAACCGTTTTATTATTAACCTGCACCTGACACAGAGCCAGATTTCCCCGCCGCTCAAACACAACGCCTAGCTTCAGTTTCAAGACGTTCTGAACATGACTGCTGTGCTAACTGATCAGCGATTGGTCAGTAAAAGGACACTTAGGTTCAAGAAGCTGCCAGAGAGATAGTGATTCCAGTTATACAGATACTGACTTCTATAAAGTGGTACACGTATAACGTCAGAACCCAGAAGTCTGGTGTTATAGTAAAATAAAGCCCGTGTTAAACATAACTTGACAACACTTTGATGTTTTGTTCTACAATGTACACGACACACAATCAAACTGTCTTAACTAGTTTCTTATGAAAAACGCATGTTTTCAAAAATGAACGTAACTGCTTCAAAATTCGTGTTTTGGGAGTGTAATTTACGTAATAGAACAAAACGTCAAAGTATAGTCGAGTTATGTTTACCACAGGCTTTATTTTGGTAAATAAATCAAAAACGCTATAGGTTAATCTCGAAGGAACCGGTGACGAGTTAGTCTTCCGGGTTCTGATGTCATACCTTCACCACTCTATAGAGAGGGATCTCACAAAAACATTACAGGTCACTTTTCACAGGAAAAATATCAATTCAATTTTGCATAAAAAAGAAAACCGAGCCTGTTTTGGGGCCATTAAGATCTCTTGCAATCTGACATTTTCCCTCCCCAAATTCTTCCCACTTTAATGTACTTTAATAATCTTTTATTTATTTTTTGTCCCTCATTTAATTCCATTGGATTCTCATTAATTCAATACAGTCATTTAATGTACATGCTAATTGTCATGAAAATAATGTTACAATGCAATAAAGGCTTCATTTCTTTTTGCAAAATATCATGTACATGTATTAGATATGACCTGGCATGTTCTTGACAGACCCTCCCAATTCTCCCTCCTCTAAGTTTACAGTACAATGAGTGACTAAAATGGTGCAATTCTTGGCATTTTCGATATGCATGATACAAATAAAAAGATGGATTTCGTGCTTTGTGGGGCTCAGGCAATTTTCTACTGGAATGTTTTACTCGGATAAAAATTGACATCATTTTATGGCAAAAGCTTGACAGAGAAATAAAATGCAATTTAAATAAAGACACTGGGATTTGTGAGGTGTTCTTGTATCTTGATGAATTTTAGATGAAACTAGATGAAATTCTAAACGTTTGATAAGGGGACACTTTAAAACCACATGCAACCCGAAAGTCTAGGTATTTAAAGGGTTAGTTCCCTCAAAAACGAAAAATCAGTCATTAGGCTAATTACTCACCCTCATGTTGATTCAAACCCGTAAGATCTTTTTTTTCTTTCTCAGATTTCATCAAAAATAATTTAGTCTGTGTTTTGAAGATGAACAAAGGCTTACATGCTTGGAACGACATGAGGATGAGTAATTAATGACCGAACTGTCATTTTTGAGTGAACTATCCCTTTAAAGGAGTAGTTCACTTTTAAAAAAAAACTTTAGCTGATAATTTACTCACCCCCATGTCATCCAAGATGTCCATGTCATTCTTTCTTCAGTCGAAAATAAATCAAGGTTTTCGATGAAAACATTCCAGGATTTTTCTCCATATAATGGACTTTACTGGGAACCAAACGGTTCAAGGTCCAAAAGACACTTTCAGTGCAAACTGCAAACTGTTCAAAGGGCTTTAAACGATTCCAGACGATGAATAAGGGTCTTATCAAGCTAAACGATCGCTCATTTAAAAAACAAAACAAAACAAAGTTTAAGTTTTATAAGCACAAATGCTCGTCTTGAGCATATAAACTTAAACTTTTTTTTTTTAAATGAGCGATTGTTTCACTTGATAAGACCCTTATTCATCGTCTGGAATCGTTTAAAGCCCTTTGAACAGTTTGCACTGAAAGTGTCTTTTGGACCTTGAACCGTTTGGATCCCAGTAAAGTGCATTATATGGAGAAAAATGCTGGAATGTTTTTATCAAAAACCTTAATTTCTTTTCCACTGAAGTAAGAATGACATGGACATCTTGGTCGACATGGGGGTGAGTAAATTATCACCAAAAGTTTTTTTAAGAGTGAACTACTCCTTTAAGGACTTTCTCCAGTGAAATGGCAATTTTGTCTGCATTTGATATTATGAACTTAAATAATCTTGTCCATTTCGCTCCGGGACATTGAGTCCTCACAGATGGTGACCTGAATCAAACACTGTTACATAAATATTGCCCCCTTTTCCAGTTTTGGAAAACCACTAGATTGATATTTAAGGGGGGCTTGACATTAGGAATGAGATTAGTGATCATCGAGCAGATAATGATTTTCAAATCTCAGTTTGAGCTTTGCCAGGTGATGCGGACCCATTTAGGGTCGAGAGTGAGAAAAGGAGGGGGAGGCGGCCAGTAATATTCCACAGCCTCTGACTAGTGGAAAATTCAACAGAATTTCTCACAACCATAAAAACTAAATAGGTGGAAACATGGTCCTACAGACGCTGAGGTTTCTCGCAGCCCTGACTTCTTAGGAATGTCTGAAGTGAGGTCAGATCGACTTCATTCATTGGTTACTTGGTTACTTGCCTTTTAGCTGACACTGTTCATCCAAAGTGACTTACGGGGGACTAATTGCAGGGGTTAAGCAATTTGCTCAAGTGCGTAATAGTGCAGGACAGGGCAGGATTTTTGACCTCAGTAACTATCTAAATCCCGAGTCACCCCTGATCGGCCCTAAACCGGACACCTTTGTATTAGCAACCTAGATTTTTACCCATTACCCCAATTTCTTCTTTGTGAGATAAATCTGAAAGCATTAGCACATTTTTGGGTCTTTGCACATTTGTCATTGCAAAAGTGGGCCATATCTGTTAGGCATTATGAAGCCACAGGCTAAGACGGTTCTTGTTAATCAACGCCTGCAGAATCAGCAAATATCCTCGCTAAACATCACTACAGGCCTCCTTCACAGCAAATCATTCTGCATATGTTTGCAATGGCTCTCACACTGCAAAACCCATAACAAGAAGTTCCAAAGCAAGTGTTACTTGCTTACTTTGGTGCAAAACAAGTGCCTTATAACAATTAATAAATAAAGTGTATTTAAAACATAAATATGCACTCATTTTATGGGAAACTTGATCAACTAGATGTGGAGTCCCAAAGAGAAACATGGTTGTTGAAAAAGGAATCAAGAACTTGTGGAACTAAGACTTGGCAGACAAGTTGTCAACCGATCTTAAGAGGTCCCAGTGCTCACCCCTGCTGTACCTCATACCCTCCCCTGACTGAAAAGGCCTCTGATTCAATGGTCAAACGGTCAACGATGAGGCCAACAGATACCAGCGCTGTCCCCTCAGTCTTGACGTCTCATTTGGGGATCTCCAGGGCCGTTACTGCAGGTTTGGTCTTGAAGTACTGATTGAAACGTAGCACGGCATACCTAGATAAAAGAATATGACAAAATCAGATCTGAAAGTCAAAATTGAATTGAATCAGAAATTATCTTTTTTAGGGCATATTTTTCGCCAATAATTTTTAAAATAATCTTTTTTTTTTAACATAAATAAAAATCCTCCACTTGTCAAATACTTAAACTGAATATAGTTTTGACCAATTATGGGTGATATCTATAAAATCAAAAAGATTTTTTAAATATATTTATTTTTGTAATATGTTATGCATTACGTTTGTAGCACTTTGAGTAGGCTTTAATATAAAACGCACAGAAATGTTTTATTAAATATAAATGCAAAAAACACATTTACATTTTTTTATAGTTCTTATGAAAGATATAAAATATTAGATTAAAAATAAGTTTGACAAATTTCAGTGGCATTATTGCCCTGAGACCTGGTTAATTTTTTGCTCTGAAAGACACCGAAGTTTAAATAAATTTACATAATAATTTATTATCCTTTTTCTACATGCAAAGAGGCAGATTTTTTAAACAGGCTGTGAGAGGAACCACGACCTGTTGCTTGGAAACTGGCGATGTAGGAAGTTTACAGAATATATTACTTGAGTCAGTTCAATAAAAGTGAGCCACGACACCAACAAAAATATCCTCAGCAGCCTACGGATGACATAACTCACCCGATAAACCAAGTCGAGGATAACTTAAGTAAAGTTTCATTTTGCTACACAGTACAGATACACAACACTGAAGATTTCGAGGTGGACTGCCAAAGTCACAGAGAGTGGCAGGCCACAAATCACTTGTCCTGAATCAAATCTGAAAACAAACACCACCGACAGGTTTCTATGGGCAATAGAACTAACAGTCCGCACCAATTCATGCGCACTATGTGGGAGAGCTTCATATAAAACCTTTATCTCCACCAGAAGCGATCCACAGATTCAGGTCTAATGTATTTTTAAGTTTCAAACATAATGGACACTGTTTTAGGACTCTATTTAGCCATGAACCCAAGAGATCTAACCTTCAATTCAGGTCTTGAGTTTCTGTAAGGTGAATGGTTAAGGTGTTAACTTTGGTTTGAGGCAATTTCTGGTCAATGAATTACTTGTAAACTGAACTTTGGCCAAATTATATTTTGACTTACATAAAATAAAATTTCAGTCAATGCATAAACAAATGGAAATCAAGGTATATCCATATATAGGTAGTATTAGCAGGTATTTGTGGTTGTTCTTTTGTCTGATTTCTCTAATATTGCAATATTCAGGATTTTTTCCCTGAATAGAACTTTAAATTAGGTTAGAAAAGTGTATTAGGTTACTTGCCTGGTTATTGCCGGCATTAGTTGCCACTACTTTCTGTCACTTACACTGTAAGAGTAACCCCTATTTCTCTTGTTGATAATGATCTTTATGCCTGTATAAAAAAATCCTCCCGCATCACAAGAGATTAAATGCTGGATACGCCGCTTACCCGAGGAAGTCAAACTCGATGGAGGAGTACTTGGCTTGGATCAGGGCCCAGAAACCCCAGAAGAAATGTGAGGCCTGCCAAAGCGGAAGAACAAGAACTTTAGGGGAAAGCCTTCCAGCTCAGTCCACACACAGATGTATCACTGACAGCAATCATCATGCAACAAACTTGTAATCCAATACCTTCGAATAAACCACCATATATCAATTTCATAAATGCTGCATTATCAAAACATTTTCTCCTCTAATGTCCTCTGCACATGCAACACTTACCAGAGCAAATTTGTTGACTTGTACGTAGAGCGTCTCCAGTTCACTCTGGCTCACCTCCTCACCTTTCTTGGTGAAGAGCTTGTAGGCCTGCAGGTAAGTGTGCAACCAGTCCAACTGCATCTCTCGACTGGGATAAAGGTTATAGTCGGGTTCACTCATGCCTGATGAACACACACACACACACACACAGAAAGGTAATGCAAATCAGTTGCCAGAGCATCATTTTTTCTGAATGATATTTGTTTTATGCAGCTCACCTGCAAATTCATTGAAATGATTTCCAATGTCAAATGCTTGATAGTTGTAACTTGAATATTCATAATCGATGAACCGAACATGACCTAGAAAAAAAGGCAAGAGGGTTTGATTTATAGTAAACAAGACATAATATAAGTGCCTTTTCAAACAAAACCCCTGAATTTAATGCCATAAGTGAAACGTGTAACACTGGCTCTATAGTGGTGTCAATTTTGCTTTGTTTGTTTGAGTGGCCCAGCATGTCAAATTTTTTGCCACTTCATGTTTGCCCAGTAGAAGCTCATTGCAGTACACAAGATCTAGGGGGCGGAGTTAGATCCAGATCTAGGGGGTGGAGATGGGTAGGTTTAGGTATATGTAAGGTGGGAGGAGTTGGATCTGGATCCAACTCCTCCCCCTGGATTTCATGTTCTGCAGTGAGGACCATCTCAGTTTGCCTAAACAATGAAACACAGGAGATAGCATGGAAGAGGCGGGAGTTGTGTTTGAGAAACCTGGAACCAGTCAACATGTTTGACATTTTGTTTCAAGAATGCACACTGCAGCTTTTTTCACTTCAGTGCTAAGACATAAGACAGGTGTTTTTTATTTGTAAAGAAATGAACACTTTTCTTCAACCGGAACAGATTAAATTGATCAAAAGTGACATTGGAGACATTTATGATCTTACAAAAGATTTCACTTTCAAATAAATGCTTTCTAATCGTCAGATAATCCTGAAAAGTATTGTTTTCATCATTGATAAAAATAAATGTCTAAATCAGCATATTAGAATGATTTCTGGAGGATCATGTGACACTGAAGGTGTTTAAGTAATGATGCTGAAAATTTTTATTATGATGCATGAAGACAAAAAAAACCTGACATTTTTAATTGTAATCAAATTTCACAGTTACTGTTTTTACTGCAATTTTATCAAATAAATGCAGTCTTGGTGACCATAAAAGACTAATAAAAACACTAAAACTTGTACAGACTCTTGGGATATATATATTTTCTCACCCATATGGCTTTGGTTACACCAGCAGAACAGAAAAGTAGAGGCAGAGAAATTTAGTGCAGTTTAATTAAAGCATTTATTATAATATGTTATAGTAAATACGGTCAGTTCGATTCTATATTGTCATGATGTTGACATATTACCCACCTTCCTTTACGTTGTGAATGATGTTCTTGCAGAGCAGGTCATTGTGACAGAGCACTACAGGAGAGCCCAGCTGCGACAGGTGTTCCTTCATCCACATCATTTCCTGTTCAAGCACTTCCTGACTGGGCACTTCCTGCTGAATTCTAAATAATAATAAAAAACACGGAAAGAGATCAGTGATTCAAGCAAATGGCAAAAAGACAAGAGTGATTGACAACACAATGATGCCACAAATTAGATTTTAGTTTGTTTGGTGAAATAAGCATTAACTTAGTTAGCATTAACTAACACGAACTAACAACTAACAACACTTCTACAGCATTCATTAATCTTCATTAATGTTAACCTCAACATTTACTAATAAAGAAGTTGTATCTGTTAACATTAGTTAACTATGAGCAATAGATTTGTTGCGTTTGTCGCTAATTAATAAAAATACATATGCTCATTTTTAGCTCAGATCCACTAAACAATATTTACTTTTCATTTTAACACTGTATTATTATATGGTGAAATAAATACAGCATTGTATGTTAAGTAATTAAATTGTAAAAAAAAAAAAAAAAAAAAAAAAAATGGTAACAACTGGAACCGTATTGTAAAGTATTACCAACAATTTAAAAATGCTTCATCAGTCATTTATCTTAAGGATGGATTAACAAAAGAAAAAGCCCGTCTGAGTGACCACTCTCCCCTTATAATGGGCTTAAGGAGCTATTTCTAGAATCTCCTTTTGCCACGCAGCGGCTCACACAAAACCCAGCTATCTCCCTGACTGATCTGTGATTTGTTGAATGCTTTTTTCCCATACCTTTATGACTTGTTTTATAGTATTAGGCAAATACAGAGTAAGATCGTCCTGTTAGACATTGGGGAGTAATAATAAAATCTCTACGTGTATACTACGTGTATACTTTCAAAGCATACTCAATGATGAGCACGGATGGACATTTGCATTTCTATACAAGTTCTCTGCAAGACGTCAGTCACAAGGTTGTGGAGCACAGAGTTGTGTCATTTGTTTAGAAGGAAAAAAGAAGAAAAGCGCCGCCATTGCATGCAAACTTTAGAACAAGAACCAAGACAAAACCGATGGAGAATGACATGCTGCTTTGTTTACTCCCTGAGGGTTACCTGACGTTGGAGGCTTGGTCAGTGAACTCCGTGGCCACTAGCGAGAAGTACTTGCGCATTTTGATCCACAGGTTGGGTTTGGGGATGCAGCCATTGTGTGCGTGGATGGCGTGAATTCGGGCCATTTCACGCGCGATCAGTCTGCCAATAAAATCGAAGGGAGACATTGGTCAACACTGCAATGCTCAGTTTCAGCCTAAACACAATGCCTGGAAAAAGCTGTTTATGTGGAAAAATGGATATTAGTCCAAGGTCACCTGTGTAATTTGCAATACGGTTCACTGTGTGCCTGGAAGGAGATTACGTGACCCTCATGAAGGGAATGAACACTTCAGTCTCGAGTGCACAAGAACTTCACTCCCAATTTGCAGTTAGCTTAGACTATATGAAGAACGTTTCCAAAAGCCATTCTTGTTTCAAAGGGTGACTATTATTTGCTGTACATTTGACATTTTATTCCATTTTCACGCCTAAAAACTAAAGGAGATCGTGCCTTCTCAGTTGCTGCTCCTAAGTTGTGGAATGGGTTACCAATATTCATCAGATCCTCTACTTCTGTAACCATGTTTAAATCTCAGCTTAAGACATTTTTTTTAATGAGGCGTTTGCTGACTGCTAGACTTTGATTTAACATTTATCGTATTTTATTTCCTTATTTTTACATTGTATTCTTTCTTGTGTTTTATATAATTTGTTTGAAATTGTACAGCACTTTGGTACACTATGTGTTTTTTAAGGTGCTTTATAAATAAACTTTGATTTGATTTGATTTGATCATTATATACATTATATTTCTATTCAGCAAGGATGCATTCAATTTCGCAAAAGTGACAGTAAAGACTTTTACATTGTTACAAAAAAATTATATTGCAAAATATTAAGTAGCACAACTGTTTTTAACACTGATAATAATTAGGAAGGTTCACATCAGCATATTAGAATGATTTCTGAAGGATCATGTGACACTGAAGACTGGAGTAATGATGGGGAAAATTCAGGTTTGCATCACAGGAATAAATTACATTTTAAAATATATTCAAATAGAAAACAGTTCTTTGACATTGTAATAATATTTAACAATATTACTGTTTTTACTTTATTTTTGATCAAATATAAAACCAACCTTACCAACCCCAAACCTTTGAATGGTTTTGTATAATACATATTTTAATAATACTAATTTAATCATTTAACTCATCACATTGCATAATGGGATTCTCTTATTTGCAAAGAATACATGTGATACTGTCTTAGCATCTGGTCAAAAGACGTATAATTATGTAATTAGTATACTATATAAATAGTACAAGGTTTTGGACAGAGCTAAGGTCAGTTTTAATGACTTCACTATTATAGTTACAAAAAATATTCCAAAAAATAGGCCAAAAACTAAGATCAGTGTTCAATTCAATGCGTTATTTTTAGAAACGAACACCCACACTTCTATTTTGTGCGTGTGCAGAACGGACCCACCTGAGTAACACAGGATCCCTGACGTCTTGAGTATCCAGAGCGCGTCCTTGCATGAACTCGTAGCAGATGCCATTCTGGAAGGTGCAGTAAAGTCGAGGTGCGCAGCCGTTGGCGTGTAGAACTTGGAAGCTCTTCAGTTCATTGTCTCGGTCCACGATCAGCTCCGTCTTGTTGCCGTACACCCTCACCAGCACCACATCCTCGTCGCACTCCTCCACATAACAACCCACCAGTTTGTTGGTTGTGCCATCTGTGAAAAGCTGAGGGGACAAAAAAAGGGACATAAGGCTTTCATGATCAAAAATAACAACTGCAATCACAGCTACTTTTCTTTTTTGCAAGATGCACAGACATCACAGTCAAATTGAAATGGCATTCAAATCCAGTTTTACTTCCGTAATGTAATGCATGTTGACTTAAAGGGATAGTTCACTTTGAAATATATTTTTGGTATGTTTTAGCTTACCTCAATGGCATCCAAAATGTAGGTGTCTTTGTTTCCGCAGTATTTTCAATTTTGATATTTTTAGGTCAAACCGTTCTTGTCTGTCAGTCATATAATGGAGGTCTATGGTCACCACCTCACCTGTGCAGACCGAAGCGCCCGCGCCCTCAGTTCACTGTTCGTTTTCTCACGCAAACCGCTCATTTCGTGTCTTAGGCCATCAATGTGTACTTGCATTTACGAGTTATTAAATCATGTTTATTTTGGACTTCTCTGTGCATGCTCTTTGAGGTGGTGACCATAGACCTCCATTATATGACTGACAGAAAAGAACGGTTTGACCTAAAAATATCAAAATTGAAACTACTCTGGAAACACCCTTGAGGTAAGCTAAAACATACCAACAATTAATTTCAAAGTGAACTATCCATTTAAACTAGTTTACGTTGACAAGCTGTTAACTGTCCGTTGGACATATTGGCGTTCGTGATATGACGTCAAACACTGTGGCATCTTTTTTATAAACATGAATTGAACATATAACAAATAGTAATAAATTCAAATTGTAAACATATACAATCTACTTGTGTAAAAAGATTAAAATAAGCCATTTTCAATCACGATAGAGCATATGAAAAATCGGCAAGACTTTAAATGCTTTGTCCTTGTGACAATGTATCCCACAATTCATTGCACTGGCCCCGCCACCCACAAATGCATTTCTGAGATTCCTGAAATGACTAATGTACCAACAGCGACAGTGGTCGATATACAGAGGATGAATTCATCTCTGAGCAGGTGCCGTTTAGACCGTTCAACAGTTTTTTTCGAAAGGTTTAACACTTAAAACTTGCATCTCAATAGTAAATGGGTTTAAGATACACTGCTAAAAGCAAATATTCCACAACTATCTGAACAAACTTTGTAATTCACAAGCAGAAAGTGATATGTAGGATGGTTTGAACCTCTAAAAATAGTTTTGGTGTTGGTCAGTTGAGTGTAGCTATCATCAACAAACACAACACAATAACTAACCCCTTTTGCCAGTATCACATGACCATGTGGCTCTTCTAAACGTCTGGAACGCCGGAGCTCATCTGATGAATGGCATCAAAATGCCACGCGCCAACAGAGGAGCTTTATTTTGAGCATTTTGGCTTCATTCAAAGGACCGTACCAAAGCAGCTGTGAACAATACGCTTGGGCACAATGCTTGTTTTTCATTGATGAAAACTATGCTGGCTATCTTTAAACAGTGCCTATTAGGGGAGTAACAACAATATAGTGTGTCACAATACAAAAATGCAACAGTATTTATCGTGGATAGTGACAATATGCATTGTGTATAGTTCATCCAAAATAAAAATTACTGAGAAAACGAAGTTTCAGAGTTTTAGTGTCAGTAGTACTACATTAAACTGGTGTATATAATGTCAATAGTGCAATGGGGGAATATTTATGGGTCCTGATAATGCCAAATGTTACCAGTAAATTATTTTTATTCTGGTGTCAACATTGTCCTGTGCATTGGGTTACAGCACCAAATCCAAGCCTATTCATTTACACCCACAATGTAATACTAAATTTAACATTTTAATCAACAGTACATTTTTTGTTAACCTTTTACCATGTCTTTGAGTATCGCAGTGCTATTGAATTGTTCAGTATCGTGATATATATCGAATCGTCACATGTGGGTATCGCTGTGTGAAGGTAGAACGGGATTAGGTTCATTCAGCCTGGCCTCAAAACAGTCAGTATACAAGAGTATCGGTGAATCTCTCTAAAATACATGTCTGGGTCATAGGTCACCCTAAAATCATAAGAATTAATTTTTTAAGACCAAAACATTAAACAAGTGTTAACAAGTGTTTTTGTCTCATGCAAATTTAGATGTATTGAATATCCCTGTTGTGTATTCTGCTGATTTAAATGTCACCTAGGTAACATTATCCATTCGGCTGACATAGTTGAGGTTTTGTTAAAATAGCAACAAGGATTTGAGAAAGGAATGGGTTGAAAATTCTAAATGAATCAATAAGATTTTCATCAAATGCAGCCATTTTCCAGGAAAAAAAGTGTGGTGCGGATCTATATTGTATATTTAAAGGCACAGTATGAAAGTTTTGTCGCTATAAGTCACTTACTCAATTTGTCTTTACCTCCACAGCCGATGGATTTGATCAGTGAGTTGCATTTGATCACTTAAATTCACATTATTTTAGTGAATTCTAATGAAACAGCCGCTTGTAATAAATATAAATTGTATATAATAAAATATTATTCCAGATGCCTGAATTTTATATAGTAAAATTCAGGCATCTGAAATAATAAACTAAGTGTAATGTAGTGTTGCCAAAAATATAGATTTTTCAATATCTGAAACTCTCCCAATACTCATTTGTGGAATACAAGATACCAGCTGCGTTTTTTCTCTCATCTCTCTGACAGCAAATGACTCACAAACCCGCCTCTCCTCACTCACTCGTTTCAGTTGCCCTGGATGAATATAGTTGGTGTTACAGCTTGAATTTCGGCATGTAATTGCGCATGTTGTGCATAATTTTACTCATTCCCGCAGATTTTGTGCTAACACACAAAGTGTGCGCACATAAAGCCGCCTCTCAGTACTAAATTGAGTTATTTTTTGCTGATTATTGCGCTTAAACAGTCAAATACACACAAAACGGCATTGGTGTGTATTCAGTTAAACAAGTCAGTAAGTAAAACAACAAATCGAGGGTAACGCGGATATGACATCACTTGGGATGTTACACTGGTTAAAATAGCTCATTTCTCTGGATTGTTGGAAACATTTGGGATAATGTAAGTAAACAAGTCAACAAAACATATAACATTGTTCTAGTGGTTTTTGGATACTTAAATCCAAAAATCTTACACATTGTGCCTTTAATTGCAATTATAATCACAAAAAATGTGTATGAATATTGCTAAAAAACAGCTGAAATGCAGTATTATTTTTTAATGTTTTGAGAGCACTATACATTCCTTTTTCTATTACTGATTTTCACTTCATAATCATACATAGGCCATTTAAGGAAAATCATGTAAAAATGTAAATATCAAATATGATCCATCAGGCTTTTGAGGAATGTTTATTTATACATCTCTCAATCATCATTGCATTTCATTGCATTATATGTTTTGTCCCAACAATTAAAACTACAGAGCTTTTTATGCATTTCAAACTAACATCATCTTACAAGGCATATTATTGGGAGATATAGAGCTACAAACTATATTTATATGCATTTTACGTAAGTAGTCTGCTTTATTGTTTATAACGACCTCAATGATTTGAATATGAACTCCGTATTCTCACTATATCAAACTATATGAGCCATAATATATAATACTCAACAAAAAACACATTTGCAAGCTAAATACATATATTGCTTTACAGTGCTAATATTATAAAAAAAATAATAGTAATAATAGTAAATATCTACTACTGCATATAAAAGAGCTATAATTGTTTTTAACAAAAATCCCTTAACATTCGAGGAAAAAATTATTGAAAAAAAATCCATAAATATAAAAATATAGCTGCTAAAAATTAAATAAAATAATGCATTACAGTAATGACAATTTGGGAGGAAAATTTGCTTAATATCACGCTTTTTTTATTTTTTATCAATGCTTCATTTTCTTTAAGTACACAAATAATCTTTATGCCTTTCCCTTGCTTTTAGGTTGAAATATGAATCGAACACGTTCTTGAGCGTTTTCATGAGATTCATTAGTGACGTGGACTGGGACACGCCGTCTCTGCTTAAAGACAAACAAACAATAATAACACTGTTCATTAGTAACCTTCATTTCCCATCACACTAAATGATAACACTCAAACAGATATGACAGATGAAGCACATGAGGTTGATAATCAGTGCAATAATGCAATGTTTATAACTGTGCTAAATGTGTAGCATATGTGGTGTTGGGCTGAGACGTAAGTGTGAGTCACAGAGTTTAATCAGGTTATTTAAACAGCTGCATTAGGATGAACCCAAGCCAGCATTACGGGAGGCTTGCTTCATCACTATTAATAACTGTTATTAACTGAATATTGTGAGCCTCCTAAATGAATAAACAAATGAATATTTTCCATTGAAGTCGTGAGACATTGATCAGATTATGAAAATACAACAGGCTAACCACTTTTTGGATCAAATGTGGTTTTGGGTCGACTCGAGTCAATCTAATCAGATCAACTAGTTTCAAACCAGAACGCCAGGTGCGAGCTGGTCTATCTGTGAGATAACCTGTTATTCCGAGATGATAAGTAACAGCTGACCTGTGTCAAGGACAAAAGAAGAAAAACATGTATATATGCATGTATGCATATATATATATATGAAGAGTTCAGATGCAAAAGCCTCTAAGTGCCATTTGAAATTTTCTTCTAGAATGATCATTTTTATCAAGCCTGTATATTTAAGTTCAGTAATTTCACTTAAATTGCAATGAAGATTACCTATTAATTGTCATTTATTTGTCATTAAGTGGAATTACTGAACTTAAATATACAAGCTTGATAAAAATGATCATTCTAGGAGAAAATTTCAAATGGCACTTAGAGACTTTTGCATCTGAACTCTTCATATATATATCACACACACATATTACATACCTATATTTAAAAGTGTGTGGGTGTCATTGACAAATAAAGCTTTCAAAAAAATCTTTTCAAAACTGATAAAATGCATAGTTGCCTAGTTGTCATGAACAATGTGTTTAAACAGGTTTCAGTTGTTAAAAGCAATAGTAAACTTAATTAAAATTCTGTCATAATTTACTCACCCTCAAATTGTTTCATATCTGTAGGATTTTCTTTCTTCTGCTGAACACAAAGGAATATATTTTGAAGAATGTCGACAACCAGACAGTTCATGGACACCATTGACTTCCATGGTATTCATTTGGTGTCCATCAACTGTCTGGTTATCAACATTCTTCAAAATATCTTCCTTTGTGTTCAGCAGAAGCATACAATTCATATAGGTATGAAACAACTTGAGGGTGAGTAAATTAAGACAGAATTTACATTTTTGGGTGGAATATCCCTTTAAGCAGGTTAACAGGTTTCTGGATAATCTTTAATTTGGATGAGGGATGTTTGCTGTTCTTCATGTTCTTCAAATGATGACAGAATTTTCATTTTAAGTAAACTATTATTTAACATTTCAAAGGGCTAAAATACATTTTTGACTGTTGACATATGTCAGGCGGTACAACCAAATAGTTTTATGTTGTTGTACCATCTGTCATGAAGTGTATCAATCTACCTATACTTGAAATTAGCTGTTGTTGCCAGTATTTGATCGAGATCTATAAACATTTTCACTCTGCTACAAGGATGAGTTGGTTGGGCTCCTCTCTGTTTGACGCATTATATTTACTGGTATTATCTTGTCAATTAATTATAAAAGAGCCATATTTGAAGTTGTGCCACTCTGACATTTGGGAATATACAAACTGCTGGACAAATTTTTTTCAATGATCTCAACAGCTTTATAACTTGATTATTTTTATTTTATTAAGACACCTTTTTAAATAGTTTTCTTAGTCTGTTCCTTTGTTTGGACAGTTGCACCACCTGACATTTTGGGAGTTTAAGATAACAAAACAAAATAATATGTATTATTTAAATGTAGCCTACTAAAAATGAATTCGAACTAGATAGGTTTTAAAGAACAAAGGGATATGTCATGAATTTATCAAATTATTTTAAAGGAAATAATGCCCTTGGACACAAAAAATATGCACATCACATGTACTATACAATCATAAAATACTATATAATAACTGAAGGTTTTTTTATTTTTTTTTTATTTTGATTTTAAGGTTTTTGGTTATGGCAAAGAAGTCACTGCCAGCTGGCCAGTGACGTATACAGGACGTATACGCACCTCACCACGTCAAAGATTGATAACCTATCTTAAATTATTAAACTACTTTTTTTATACACGTTTTATTACATAATATGTGTGGTTAGATGTGGTTAAACTGGGTGTAATGTCCAGCAGCTGGCTAAGTTAGCCAGGCTAGTTTCCAACGTCACTCATACGGTCAGAGAAAATAATATGACGTGATAACGCACAAAACCTTCAGTCATTTACGCTATATTAAAATACATATTCTTAAATGAAAATGAAAAACGGAACACCTCAAAAAAGAAAGAAAAAAAGAAAGAAAAAAGGCCCTAAACACGCCGGGAGTGGATTAGCTCAAGCTACACAGTCACACCTACCTTAGTACGGATCAGGTTCGGGTCCCAGCCTGGTCTGAGCTCTTTAATCAGCTTCATCGCCCCTTCCGTAACATTATGTTCGTCCACGAATATCGGGAATTTTCTGATCGTCGGTGAACCAACCGGCACGTGGATCTCCGTCTCCATCATATGATTTATCTGTCTATTAATGCCCGACATGAAAGTTTCTGAATCTATAAGTATTAAATAGGTATTTTCAGTGTTTAGGGGGTCTAAAGGTTTTTATTTGAACATGCACTGAAGGTCCAGCCCGGTTTGGTATATGCAGGAGACAAGAGGAGCGACTCATATGCCGGTACCGTTGGTTTCTGTCATCACGGCAGGAAAAAACGGCGCTTCTTCCTTCTGCAGGCACCGCCCACAAGAAATCATCCGATGACGGAGGTAGCTCATGAATATGAATGAGGTCAGGCTGATGGGACTTCAGAACCTTCCAATGGCGAAGGCCTGACTTATTAATATTAATTAGGTGAAATTACGTTGCTTTGTGGTCGTCCTTGGCAAAGGCCTGGCTCATGAATATTACAGTAGTAAGATTCTGCGTAATAAGATTCGTAAATAACCTGGCTTTATGTGTCTCTCATTAAACATATGCTCATTATTTAGTCTTTTTCTTTTGAAATATATTTTATGTAGCATGGTAACCATGCATTATGTACCATATAATGTGAAAAAAATGAAGTCAAAGTTTAACATGGGGAAATGTAAACAATCTGAATATTTAGCCAAATCAAATGACTAGCATAAAGGACTGTGTTGTCTAAACTAATCTCAGGTTTACTGTAATCATGTGCCATTATTGCATGCAATGCTATGAATCAGGCCACTAGGGGTCTCTCACAAATAGTCCAGTCATTTTATGAAAAGGAGTCGGAAAATTAGCAACAGAAGCAAACTCAACTGATTTTGTGTATGTCCTGAGTAAGGGAAAAAAGCACATAAGAATCCCATTAGGGGAAGACCCAAATATAGCCTATTCATACGCCTATTCATTATTTTTCTCACGTGAATAGGGGAAACATTTTAACCTCTAGATATCACCATGAAAATGAATGAGTTGATTACTTACATTTAAGACAAAAAATGTATTAGAAGTTTTGTCAAGATTTTTTGTTAACATGGGCAAACAGTGCATATTCTAATTAGGTATGTGCTAATTTCCAGAAATACCACAACATATCTAAACATTGGGTATTACCAGGTGAAAATGTCTTGTTGAATCTTGATGGCATATAACAGTAAAATACTTAATTTTAAGGTCTGGTAACCCATTTAGCATCAAATCATAGAGGCAGAAGTACTTTAAACTTAGAGTTTGGGGCTGGGTCCGTGGAACTGTTTCTGGGGGATTAGTCTGAGGGAAGAACAGGAGACAAGGGTAAGGAGAATGCAGAAGAAAAAAGGTATGGCGATAGGTAAAATAAAGAATCTGACATTATAATGCACCTTTTGCTAACATTACCAAAAAAAAAAAAAAATTGTCAAACATTTTTTGTTTGTCTTAAGTAATCAACTTTAATTTTCATGATTATATCTAAAGGATAAAAAATGTTAGCCTATTCACATGAGAAAAAGAACGAATAGGCATTTGAATTGGCTATTTATGTCTTTTTCTAAACTTCTATAACTCTTTTTCTTTTTTTTCCTTACTCGTGACATATTGAGGATGCAGAATCAGTTGAGTTTGCTTCTGTTGCAATTTGTCCTAGGTTGACCCCCATTTTGGCTTAAAATGACTGGACTAAAACCATAGACAGTAAGACTAAAACGCACAATGGGCCCAAATCATAAATGTTTTTATAACTTGAGCTAAAGTGACCTCTGGTGGATAAGGTTAGCAGAAAAATAAACCTCATACCTAGCTATATTAATACTTTAATTAATTTTATATGTCCAGTTCTCATTTTAATTTTAGTTATAGTTTTAGTGTTCTAGTATTTTTTTTGGTTATTTTATCATTATTATTATTTTTATAGCCTATTTAAAATATGTCAATATTGTTTTTGTTATTTTTTTGTTTTACATGAACTTAAACAAAATGAGAAATGTTGAAACAAATGAAATTTTGGGTGTGTGTGTGTCTCTGTGTTTGTTTTGTTAACTAAAAACCCTGGTTGACAGCAACATTCAGCCACTAGATGTCCCCCAACTTCTTCAAAGATTGGACGGGTAAACTGGCTGCGTCCGAAGCTTAGCTAACTTGACTTATCTGGCACTGGCAGGACAGGCCAATAGTGAGCCAGCCTACGTTACACACTAAAATATTTTTCCATTTTAAACGCTTTGTAGAATCCAATAAAATGATGTGGCTGGAAAAATAGTACTTCGTAAATTCAATGTTTTTTTTTTTTACCACAAGAAAAAATGCTTTTAAAAAAACAGAAGATTTATAATATGTTCTCACTTGTTCTGTAAAATATTCTACATCACTATTAACTTGTCATGTCTAACAGGAAACAATCCCTCTCATATGGGTTTCCTTTTTCAGGGAGCATAAATGAATGGGCCACTGCACACACTGATGTCTTGCTTTTACACGTGCAGATACACGTCTCTGTCAACCGTTTCCGTCTTTAGTCAGGGATTCTCAATTGTTCTTGAGAACTGGAATGTTGTGTGATTTTTTTTTTTTTTTTTTTTTTATTTTTTTGAGGGGGTTGGTTGCTTGTCAATGTATCCTGGAAACTCTGAACTTGTGTCTGCAAAAGCACCGCTAGCGCCTTATGAGATATCAACGACTTCAGAAATATTTGCTCTCCAAATGAACACACGATGACTTACCGGTTCGCTGTTTTATAAAGGGTTAGGCTATTCTTTCTGGGTGACCCAAAGATCTCCACACCCAACACAAATTCCCCTTTCAAAGTTCATGTTGACACTTCTTATGCAGTAAAGATTGTACTGGATTCCTGTTTTCACATGTGCAAATATGCATGCACACATATGCACTATACATTTAGGCTGTGTTCTTTCATGTTAACACACGCACACACACACATACACGGAAATCCTCTCTGTTAATAATTACCTGCACATGCACAATACAAATGCCTGCTTGCTGGATAATTTAACAAAAAGAAGACAGATGGGTTCCCAAACATCATTATTGGCTGTTTCTCCCCACAAGACTGTCGTAAAACTGACACATTGAAAGTCACAAACATTGGGAAACATGCAAGTTTTACTTATGAACAATTTACATGATACTGTGGAACATTCTTGAATTGAAATGTAACAAGCACAGTGAACGTTATTTCACCAATTCATACAACATTTATCAACATCTTTGTTGATCCTGGAACAACATTCCAATCAACCAACAGATTTGAGTCTTTTTACAGAGTTTTGTCAAGTTTAGGTTTACAACGAGTGTTCTTCTATTTACTTATTATTTCCCTTTGATTTTAGGGATAACTTATAGGGTTATGTTTAGGGGATAGCACTGTTTATCGGACAGGACTGTTGTTCCAGGATCAACAACATAATGTTGATCCAGGAACATTGTCTTTCTTGGCCGATAATTAACTTAGCTCTGAGAACTGACTTAAAACACCATAGCAACGCCCTAGCAACCACCCACACATTATTGTTATTGTTAGCTAAAGCTAGCAAGAAATTATTAAAACTTAAAGGCCAACATGAAAAATGTAAAAACAAATAAAAATTGCTTTGGCATCTAACTGAAAAAAAGTGTAAGCTGAAATACTAAAATTACTAAAATTGATATTTATATAAAGCAAAGCTAAAAAAAAAAAATATGACAAAAGTACGGATCAAAATGACTTATATAACAATATAGCAAAGAATTTAAGCAAGCACCAATCTAAAACTTAAAAATATAGTTTTTTTTTAGTTGAGTTACACTGCTTGAGTAACTGTATTTAAAAGGGAAACCGGAGGTGTTTGGTTGCTAATCTGCTTGGCCCATATTGAATGAACTGGGCTAGTTAAGTGCTATCAAAGTGTCTCGCACGGCGCGCCAGAGTGATTGGGCGCACGCACTGAGACAACAGAGGTATGCATCAACTCGTCTTAGTAAAGGGAATGACAGTTTGAAATGAAAAACGGTGGAGTATCCCTTTAATAAAATATATGGGACTTATTCTTTTTCTTCTATATATTGTTTGTTGCATTTAATTGAATACAAAGTAAACAATTCAAGGTCCTTTAGGACATTTTCACTCACAAAAAAAGTTTAATTTTAACATTGTTAATAATATCATGTGGTGGAGTGGAGCACGCAACACCAAGCAACACCAAGGTCAGTTTGGTTCCCTGGGGAAATGTACTGCAAATTACTTTGGATAAAAGTTTCTGCCAAACGAATAAATGTAATCTAAACGTCTATAATTCACACTTGAAGTTTTCCCATGTTAATTTCACTAAAGCTCAGTTGTTCCATAAAGAATGGCAGAAGTGACATCATTAAAGCCCCATTCCGTTTCTGGACTGTGGAAGCAAAGTTCCGTCGGCCATCTGCACTGCTGTCAGAGTTTTATGTCTTCCTTTATGTGTCTCATCCTCCTCCTCTACACACACGAGCCCTGATGTTTTTAACCTCCTCTAGTGAGTGTCGGGCCACACACAACACGTCCCGCTTTTAAACGGCCCTCCGGGTCTCTTGTAAACCCGCCAGAGCTTCTGCGGCTTCAGTCTCCTGTAGGTCTTTACAGCAGGAACAATACTTGATTTAAAGGCTGGGGAATTTACTGTTCCTGCTTCAGCTATTTTGTGTGTGGCATCTGTTGTGCGCAAAGCTAAAGGTAGACAATTGCATTTAAGAGTGTTAAAGAGAAGCTGGTTCATTTGGAAGGAAGAGAGGAGAGGCTCACTAAACAGGTGGCGGAAACACATACACCATGAATAATGAAAGAAAGATTAGCGCTTCAATAGATTGTTTGCTTTAAAGTTGCCTCCATTCAGAGTTAAAAGTCACAATGAAATGAGTGGAATGAGTTTTAAAATAGCACAACAACAAACAGAGAAAGAGCCCGCAGGGCGTATAGGACTAGATGTGCTTATGAAAGTAAGCTGACCGCCAATATTGTCACTCTAGCATTCGGACAAAATGCAATGATTGGACACACATTTTATTGTCCTTCACCTTCCAATACTATATATTATGAATTCACTTAACTTAGTGATTGCTACACTGTAAAAAAATATTTTCAAGATTTGTTATCACATTTTTTCTTTTGTCAAATCAACTTAAATAATTTATTTAGTTGAGATAAATTATTATTTTGAGTTTCTGATGATTAAATTAATCTCCTTTATTGTATGAACTCACTTTTTCCAGTTCAATCAACTTAAAAATTTAAGGCAACCAGGTTAC